TCAAAATGGTATTCAACAAACCAATGGTTGACGTCAGTGTGGCTACATCCACTTCTTATTATTGTCCCTTGCTAAAGTAGACGTCTTCAAACTCTTCCACAGTCCATGTTTCTCTGATCTATACCATTATATCAGTTCTTCCTTCCTGGGAATGTTTCACTAATCCCATCTTGATTCAATCATCTGTCAGGGTGTAAAATAAAAAGGGAGATAAAGGGCAAAGACATCAAGTTCACAGCCTGAATTGACAACAAAGTGAAATGGATGAGATGTGGGAGAAGATGGCCCACTGTGGTGGGAATAATAAACCTGCAGGCTAGTTCAGAAGGAGAAGGAGGCTCCTCCATCTGCCAATTAAATGAAGAGGAAATTAATGGATAAACAGTTTCATTGGGGATCAGAAAAGAGGGATGGTGCTGCGAGCCATGCAGGGGACTACTTCGCATCTCCACCACCACCCTTGTGTTGTTAACAGCCTCGAGGAACAAGCACACTTATTTATTCTCATAATTTTTTTCTAATCTCTCCGTGCCAAGCAACTCCCTTCAAGAGTTTAGTTGTAGGGCAAAACTATGCTAATGTGATCTTTTTTAGTATATTTGCTCTTATGCAGATAAGTCTTCTTATCCCCTGCCTCACACCTGCTTAGCTCCTGGCTATTTCTGCCCATTATTTTTGGACTGCACGGCTGAGTGCACACACCAGGTTGTGGCTTCAAAAAACTTTATACGGCTTTTCATACGATTGCATGGTACCTTTAACTGGTGAGACAGCCACGTGGTAGCAGCAACACCAAATGCAGACGGTGAAAGATTTTGAGTGCCCTCATGAGCTTTGTTTAAACCTTTTAAAAGGTATTGATCTGAGTAACAGCCCAGAGACACTGAGGTGATTTCTTCCCATCATCAGACCAAAGCACTGATGAGGTCTATCCATATGTCTGTCTGTTCAGTGCCCTGAAGATCAGTTTTATCTCTACAACTTTTACATAAATTCTATTTGATCTGGAGCATTTTGGCAACACCTGTGGATGATGTTGCAGTGTTATGCCCCTTTAGCTCCTTAAAATTGATGCTGACTTTCATTCTTGTGGCTCCAGGCTGGGCCACTGTTCCCACATCATTATAGTACAAATGTCAAATTGTCTTTTTCTTTCCTTCTTAAGGGATGGATGATTGTTCCAGCTGTGCATTCATTTGCCTCAGGCCTTGATCTCACTTTGTTTGAGACATAAAAACAGATCACAGCCAGCCTCTGCACCCAGTGAGATATAACTTTGACAACATACTAGTATTTTTTTCCCTTCACACATTATGTGATAAAAATCCCACACCCAAAATAGATTGTGCTGACCATTTACTTCCTCCGTATAGATGAAAACTACTCTGACATATTGTATACAACAATAAAATGGAAGCTTTATCAAAAGGCTTCATAACATCGCTGTTGTTGATGATCTAGTTTTCATTAAAAGTGGGTATATGTGTGGCTGCGTGAGAGTGATGGCATGGAAATAATGCGTTTTGATGGCAAGGCCTGGCTCGCTCCTGCTCTAGGGGACAGAGGGTAGCAGGGAGTGAAAAGATGCCAAACAACAGACTGAGGCAGGATATAAATCAAATCTCTCTGGAGACAATAAGGCTCACGGCACTCACGCGCTCACACACAGTGATTTCTGGGGTCTGCCAGTGCCTCCGTACCTCAGCCACCAGGTTAATGACTTCAAAACACGTTGGGAACAGAAGCATGCAAAAGTGATTACAACAGTAGAATAGTAATTGGGATGGAAAGCATTAGAGATTTGATTTGAAAGACATTTGTAGGAATAATTAGGTATTGTCAGTCAGGTATGCCCCAATTTGGGGGGAGGTAAATGACAGCGTGTATTATATTTTATCTTTCTCGAAAAACAAAATCAAACAAAAGGCCGCGGTTGAAAATTGTAGTCATGTATGAAGGCAGTGTCTCCACAGATTAAAGCCTCGTCCAAATTCGGGGATTGGATGCTGTGACATCTCTGCCTCTGTGCCTGCTGTGGTTGATTTGGTTCAGGAGCCAAGAGGCAGAATAGGGAAGGACATTAGGAAATAGTCTACACCTGAGTGGCCTGGACCTCAGTCTGTTTAAGTGGCATAATTTTCTAATCGCAGTCCTCCACCAGCTAGTTTGGGAAAAGGTTTTGTCTTTTGTTTTGTTTTTTTAAATCTCATATGTGTCTTGTCTTTTTGTCTCTTGCTCTGGGTCTGTTTGTAACAAACTGAGGGCTTGTCTAGGACGAATGCTGCCAGAAAACAAACTGAACCTGTTCCCCCTTTCCCCAAATGAGAGTCTAGCTTCACAGAGACAAAACTGGTGCATTCGGGTGTCCCTCAACAACTTGTAAGTCAAACATTTCAAGTTTATCACCAGGAAACTGCCTTCAAATGGCAGACAAAGTGTAAATACCACTGGGACAAAATTACTTGACATTCACCTTTATTGTCGGAGTCTTGGCATTTCACAACACGACTGGCAAACAGTGTACTAGATTAATCTTAAATATGTTCATACAGTTGGGGATATTTACAACTTCCGTCCATCCATTTTCATCCGCTTATCCAGGGCCGGTTTGAGGGGGCACAGGTCAAGCAAAGTACCCCAGAAGTCCCAAGCTCCTCCTGGGGGACCCCAAGGAGTTCCCAATCCAGATGAGGTATGTAATCCCTCCAGTGTGTTCTGGGTCTGCCCCGGGGCCTAATGGGAGGCACCCAGGTCCGATGCCTGCCTAGATACCACCTCAACTGACCCCTTTCGATGCAAAAAAGTGCAAAAAAGCAGTGGCTCTACTCAGAGCTCCCTCTGAATGTCCAAATGCCCTCTGAAAACTCCTTACCCTATATCTAAGGCTGAGCCCAGCCACCCCACAAAGGAAACTCATTTCGGCCACTTGTGTCCGCAATCTCATTCTCTCGGTCACCACCCAGAGCTCATGACATAGATGGACCAGTAAATCAAAACTTTGCATTCAACTTGAGGCTTTTTAATTGCCAAATTCACATTATATTTACCTTCGATGATTTACCAACTGAATGTAATTATGATAAGGTCATAGTCTGTGGTATATCCTAACCTTACAAGTAGACAAGGATCACCTGAACACCATCAGACAGTTGTGCAGTCTATTGTTGGATTCTGACGGCTGCTCTGATATGTCTGATCTATAAATGCAAACTTAAAAGAGGACCTTGAATTGAGAAAGACAATTCATGTTTTGATATCCATGCATCTGTCCATTTTCCAGTGATTATCGAGGTCTGCCTCTCTCCCCAGCCTTCTCCTCCATCTTATCCTTGGTGATCCCAAGAGGATCCCAGGCCAGATGGGATATGTAATCCCTCCAGTGTGCTCTGGGTCTGCCTCAGGGTTTTCTACCGGTTAAACGTGCCCAGAAAACCTCCCATAAGAAATAGTGCATTGGCTGTCATTCAGTTATGAAACACTGTCTGGTCCGATGGTTGACTACAGGCAAAGTGAAGAAAAGCAAAAACTATGTATCTCCTTCAGTCTGTCTTACAAAAAATAAAATAAAAAATAGGAAACTGGTCCATTAATTTGCACTTTTTGGGTGGTTAGCCTACTGCAGCAGCATGTGAGAGGTGGCATCCAAAATCCTTATGGGAGCCCACACTCAGAGATCTAGCCTCTGGCAATGATTCCAATATTGCATATGGCTCTATATAAAACAAGTATTGATTGGATCAGACTTCCTCCACCCGAAGTTATAAAGACGGCTCTTTTCACCCAGGCCTGTAGCAGCTTTTTCTTTCTTTCAAAGTGTTTTTTAAACTAAGTCAGTGTAAGCTGGACAAATTGATGCGGTCATCCACTTGCACTGAGCCTTGTATTAAAAAATAAAAACTTGGAGAAACTCATGAGCTGCTGTCTACCCATGATCAATGAACTGTTTATGGAGGTCGACAGAAAGACACATTTTTTAGTTGCCATAAGATGTGACAGCTCATCTAACAGCAATAGTTAACGGAATAGTCAAATTATTTTGTGGGATAAGCTTATTCACTCCAGGAAGTGACTGCACCTAAATACAAGTGTTGTTATTATTTGATCCCAGTACTTTGAGTTGATTACCAAATACTATAATGACACTGTAAGTCATTGTAGTGTATTCCAGCCCATGCACATGGCCTTTGTCAGTGCCAAAGCTTTGGCCTGGCTGGGCACAGCACACGGAGTCAGTGTCCTCAGAGGTTTGAATGTGCCACAATATTAGGAATCCAAATCCCCTGTCTCCTTAAGCAGCTCCAAAGCCTGGATGGTCAGTCACAGGCCTTTGTTTTTTCAGCTCCGCAGAGATTTCGCAGGCAGTCAAATAAACTCAAACAAACAGAAAGAAACCAGACCTTACGAACAAGATTGCCAGTGTCTCCTTCAGTTTCAGAATAATCAGAATGCTGTGCAAGTTTTACACCATGTCCCGTAATGTGAGAAGTTGTAGCTTTCAAATTGTAATTATTATTACTACCTACAAAGCAAATGGCACTTATAACCCTAACACGTGTCGGCTTCAAACATGCTTTCCAACAATCACACATTCCTTGGATGGCAGTCTCATTTGCATTTCATTCATTATGAATAACTTTTTTAAATTATGGATTGCATGTATTTGACACATCATGTGTCATGCACTGCATAATTTATAATTGTTACAAGATGAATAACGTGAGCACTGGGATTCAAGACGAGCTCATTTCTCTTTACGAGACATTGCACTGGGTCTTCTCGGAATGAGCTCTTCACCTCGCGGGACTTTTACTTCTATTACTGTGTGGTGGGTACTCCAATTAAGCCAGTGTGAAGGATTATTACTCTTGTGTTTCACCCAAAACCAAAACATATAATTTCAAAGCCTTCAGTGTCAATTAATAAACAATATTATAAAATGACACTGCATCTCAAACTCTAGGGCGGTCACTCAACGAATTATAGATCAAAAGATCTCCTACCTTTTTATGCGACCACGGTGTGCTCCTTGCAGAGTGAAGAGACATGGCAAACTGGATGTTGTTTCCAGGGCCCCCTGCCGACAACGCCAAAATAAAAGTCAAAGAATTAGTACATCATAGCAATTTATAGTGTCTGACCAACAAGCAGTTGGACACACCTACAGCTTTCCAGTCCACATTAAAAGGTGTTTCCTGTCACTTAAGCAACTGTTTCCCTGTTATACAGACAACCAGCTCCAAGAACAACTGCTTCTTCTCACATCACCGAATTTGGACTGGGGCTCTCTGTAACTACCTTATGCTACTAGCCTTGAACATGGATCATGAGTCATGCCATCCACCATCTTCTTCTATGTGTAACCCTATCTTTCAGGTAGCAAGCCCCAGCGAGGTCTCTGCGTTGTGTTAGGTGAAGTATACCGGGGCGGCAGAGGAGACAGGGAAACAGGACTCAAACTGGTGGTTGAGGCGGAGCAAACTTCCCTCATTTATTGGCCTTACGAGACACAAAACAAACTGTCTTCAGTTTCCAAGGCACATATTAACACTTGAATTAAACTAAATATCAAATACAGAATAAAATAAACTTCAGCTGCCTCTGTTACAGTTACTGATTAGCCAGCTACAACACAACTAGCTCCACACTGTTAGTGCATCAGTTTAAACACATTTTTACATAAAAATTACAGGAATTGTCCCATCTTTAACATAACCCCTCTTGGGACCGGCGTGTTTAATAAAATTATAACAGACAGTTATGTTAATGACTTAAATAAAGTGGTTTCATTAGTACAGTGTTTGGAAACCCTCCTTACCTTACGAGACACAAAACAAACTGTGAACTACGGTGGCTGCAGAGGGTCAAAAACACTCAAAAATACAGTGGGCCAAAAAGGACAGAAACATAAATACCACCCTCTGCTGGTGAACATAAACTCACTCCCTTACAAATGTCTCAAATGTTGGCATGATACACATGAAATCAACAAACGTAACATGACTTTCAGAAATGTACAGTGCCAATGTAATATTCTGGCGACTCGCTTGATTATAAATGCTCTTTTTAATATTTAATGGCTGACTGGTTTCAGTAAATAAACAAACAAACTGCAGCTTCATGCAATGAAATGATACTGTAAATCTTAATCAGCCACTAATTAGGTGTGTCCTTCAGTGTAAAGTCTGCTCATTAACAGGATAAGAAGTGGTACAGGCAGCTCGCCCCTCAAGTGGATGAAACACGCCGTTCTCCAGACACAAATGTTGTTGCATTGTTGAAATAGGAACCTTTTGATGTTATGCCTGGGTTAGAGCTGATTTGGATGAAACCTCTATCACAGCACTTAAACATAAAGTTACAAAGCCCTTGTTCTCGCGTAGTATCTGAACGTGCTGCCAAATATTCTCATTCATCTGGAGTTGATGTACCATCTGGGGAAAATGTAATTTCTACTCGAACTATTGCTTCAGAGAGATTATACTTTCCAAGTAAAAAAAAGTTTATATTTTTAATTCACTTCTTATTGGCTGTTTCTGGGATAGGCAGGGGATTTTGAGAATGCCTCATTATATGAGAAGTGTACCAGAGTTCATAAACCCAAGTGTCTCTCCCAGGCTGGCTGTCATTTGCTCTTTAATTAAGAGGGCATTTCTTCCCTCCGGTGTCAGTAAAGAGATCAATTCTGTTTTGTTGTTTCCCTCTAATTCACTGACTATTACATCCATATTGCTGCTATCACATCTATTTTCATTTGCTCCTGATTAACTCATTTGTTTTGCTGTGATGTAGTTTGTGGCGGTTGTGGGACTCAACTGACGACAATGACGGATGAAAATAATGGCTGTCTTCATGACTCCTTCCATGCTCTCACTGTCACCTCTCGCTCTCTGCTCCTGAGTGTCGCCTTGTAAACAATGTGCGACAGGGAGCCAAATCAGTTGGCGCATTCATGACTGACTACCACCTGCCATTGACACACAGTGATTGGCAACCACCTGTCATTGGCCTGGCTCTTGTTTGATTTAATCCTCATTCCGAAATCCATCCCAACGTGTGCGCCGCCTCATGCATACCAAGCAGAGGGGCTGCCTGAGAGGTTAAATTGTTCATTATCTGATTATAGCAGACAAATTGTGAAATCACCAGCAATAATGATGTAAGACAGTTAAGGAAAGCATAAGATTTTTAGTGGCAGAGAATCGCATTTGGCAAAGTGCGCCGAATATTTTTAGCACAGGCGTAACACAGCGAGCGCTCACTTTTGGCACATTAACTAAAATGTGTCACATTTTGTTCTGTGCTGCAATATCTGTGTCATGTTCACAGTGTCCAAGATGTTAATTAATTATGAAAAATGACAAGCAGTGCGTGACAACTTGCCCCTGAATATTTTGTGAAAAACAAATTGAGCAAATCCTAAACTGAAACACTGAGCAAAAAACGTGTTTGCTTCCTCCTTTGTTTTAAATAAACGTAGCAATAGGTCAAAAGTGTCAAAATATTTAATTACATTTGAATAAAAAAGCAATTTTTAAAATGATTCAGTCTCTGGCATCGACAAACAGATAACTACACACATGAACAATGACAGGCTGTCATGATTAATGATCTATTTAATTATGATGGCTTTCATTTTTAGACTTTAATAAAACCAGGAGCAAATAATTTTAGACTTCAGGTAACCGGATATCAAAGCTGCTTTAAACAGAAAAAGAAACACTGGAGGTAAACACTAATTTAACAAGGACAGAAATAACAGAGAGCATGTTATGAAAGATGAGGTGTGACTGTGAAAACAGTTTCAAATTGCGAGAAAAATGAGAGAAAAGTAATATCTTTCGTGTAAATCAGAGCAGCTCTGAAAGTCAGATGGATGTACAGCTCTGGTGGAGTGTTATGAATCATTCATGTCAAGAAATGCTACGGCACAGTAACGCAGACCCCAGATCTGACATCTTTATCTGCATAACAAGGAGGGACAGTGACTTCTTACAGACAAAAACCTCAATGTTTCTTTGATATAATCCACATCTTTTATTCATTGTGAGCTTACTGGGAGATTTGTGGTTTGGCCAAGTGCTGCATGTTGAGCCATTTAGCACTAATTCCCCCTGAAATATCTGTTATTGTTTGTGCTTTAACAAGAATACTATATCCTTTAAATCTGTTGGCTAATGGATCTGTCAGACAACCACAAATGGATTTTAATTAGATTAAACATCTCTCCACAGTCGCTGGCCGAACTCCTGATTGGACCGAACGGATTGAGTTATTATGATTAAGCTCAGTGTTTATGGACGAATGATTCCAGCCTACCTGAAAATCGATAAAGGACACCTCAAGGGCCATTTTCATGAGAAGTAGCCTGCGTTGCGTAATAAGGTTTCTCCAGTGTCTACCCTGGTGATTAATTACATTCAATACTGGTGTTGAGCTTAGTCATTTAGTTTGTGTAGAGAAGCATAAGCTGCTTTAATGCCCCTCTCTGATTCAAATATGGCTTTTAATCCTGAACAACTTCCCTACCTGAAACTCACAAATCTTTTAGACAGTTAGTGTAACATCAAGTCTTTGTTTGGGACAAACAGTCACACAGTGTCCATTGCTAAAGGGTTGCCTCTGGTGCTAAATTGAGCGAGTGTCTCTTTCACAGACGGGGAAACACCTCACACAGCACATTTGTTCAGATAGAAGTTCATCATTCACCGTTTCTTGAGACAGTGCTTCTCTGCTACGTCTTCTTCTTTGCAATAATTCCATATCAGAGGTTTTGGTTTATTAGAATCAAGTGTCATGTTTCTTGGCAGTGTACATGTGTTTTCCTGCATTTGCATTTGACCTCAAGACTCATGTTTGCCTTTATGTACTCATGGGAAGGAAGCATAATTTGACATATGATCTGTGTTCGCTGATAATACGGCATTGTCCAAACATTTTCATATTCTGTAATTTTATCAGACAGTCTAAGTTATGCCTCGTGTACCTGGAGATGGGTGGGGGGATATGTAGGACAATTTGAAATTCAGCTCAGCACTTTTTCTAATCTTAAAGCCACAGTGTGTAGGAATTTCTCCCATCTAACGCTGAAATCATATATTGCTGTAATGGCTAAGTCCTATACTGTAGCCACTACTGGCTGCTAATGCTAACTCGGCTACGTTAATTGTTTTGACGTGCACTCAAAGAAAGTGATGCGAGTCCTCCTTTAGAACTTAGAATAATCTGGCAATTTATTTTCCACTTGTGTTTCATAAAGTCTGTACAGCAGGCAATAACGTCACATCCACCAACATAAAAATAATAACGCGGATTACTTCATAAAGCACAGTGAGCGCAGTCGAAAACTATTTGCTTCCCCCAAATTAGCATGTCAAACCCTGTACATTGTTTGAACCAGATTAGTCTCGCTCACCAGACCTTTCTCAAGAAAAGAAAGGTCTGGCTGGGCCGACTCTCACTTTAAGATTGGAGAAAAAAACGCTCCGGCTGCTTGTATTTCTTTCAACCAATCACAATCGTTCTCTGGGCGGTGCCACAGCAACGGTGCACTTGCAAAAATATTGCCGGGGGGAAACAGGTTTTGGTGTAACACGACCACAAAAATATCGCCTACAGGACCCGAACCATGGCAGAAAAATGGCTACATCCCCGCAAGATCAAACACAGCAAAAGTTAGTAAAGGACGTGTTGAAAAAGGTTGAAAACTGCTACACAACCAGAGGTGGTAGGGCGGGACTTCAGCGGGTGGCTCGTTCCGCCCAATGAGAGGCTGATCTATGCAGCGAACTTCCGTCCACTCAGACTAGAACCAGGTTAAATGGCCTGAGTTGACCCCAGGTCAGCGGCAGCCGCCGCGACACCAAATACAGCCCCCTAGTGGTACGGAGGAACCATTTCAATGAGTAATAAATGATAAATTAAATATGGCTCATACAATTGCATTCAAACGAATAGCGCACTCTAGCGCCTCACTGTTTCAAACGCGTATTGCAACGGTAGCCGCTGTGTACCAAAAAGCTATGATAACACTGATGAAACCATGTCATCCGATACTTCATGGAGTATTCATTCAGGCTCCTACACAGACACACACGACACGAGTTGACAAACCCCCTCCTCACCATGCTGGCTGTGTTTACAACATAGCGGCTAACAGCTGTTAGCGGCCAGTGCCGATGTTAGCGCTGTTAGCTGTGACTGCATTACCTTTCTCCTTCAGCAGCTCTCTCCACCTGGGAAAAGCTACCCCGATGTTAATCCTCCTTTTTTTTAATTTGCCGGTCACGTTGCCTTTTTGATTCCCTTTCCACTTTCTTGGCGACGAGGATGCCATCTCCCGTGATGCTGCATATGCATGATCCTGCATTATGCTCAAAGAGTGGGACTTTGTTATGCTGCAGTAGAACCGAGGTAGTAGCCAACCCCCCTGAACGACTTACCTGCACAATGTACAAACAAATCTGAAATTCTCCTTTTATGGGAACAAGTCAGATTA